AAAAAAAAAAAAAAAAAAAAAATTAGCCAGGCATGGTAGCACGCGCCTGTAGTTCTGCTTACTTGGAAGGCTGAGGTGGAACGATCACCTGAGACCAGCAGGTTGACGCTGTGGTGGCCATGAGCATGCCACTGCACTCCAGCCTGGGTGACAGGGTGAGACTCCATCTCAAAAACAAACAAACAAAAAAATAAAGGAATCGCCAGGACCTGGGGGTTTTTTCAGCGGAAACCTGGTTGCCTCTCAGTCTCCTTGACAGTGTGGCGCTCTTGCCCTGCCTAGCCATCACCAACCTGAGATCCACCTACTTGTCAGGGCAACTGTCCTCGGGACCTCTGCACACTGATGTCAGCTGGCGAGGACTCTGAAAAATGCTGATGCTTTGGGCTCCACTGAGACGCTGAATTAATTGTCTGGGGTGAAGCCTGAGAATGGGAGGGTTAAAAGCATTCCAGGTGATTCCAGCGTGGTCAAGTTGGAGAACAGCTGTTTCACCTTTCAAGTTTTGTTCTAATGTCGAGGCCCAAGTGAGTAGAGGTGGGATGCCTACCAGGTGTGAAACACATGGGTTATGGACAAATGTTTGTAATATGAAGTTTCACAAAAAGAACAGAGGATACAAAGCAAGCCAGAAACTTCTCCCAGTGCTACAAAACCGCTGACTCTAAAGACACTTTAACACCCAGGCCTGTCTTTTTGGGTCGGAGTCTCACTCTGTTGCCCAGGTCAGAGGGCAGTGGCATGCTCACAGCCACTGCAGCCTTGGCCTGCTGGGCTCAGGCGATCCTTCCTCCTCCGCCATCCAAGTAGTTGGAAGCACAAACTTGTGCAACCATGCCTGGTTAATTTTCTGATTTATTGTAGAGAAGAGGTCTCGCCAAGTTGCCCAGGCTGGTCTTGAACCCTTGCAATCCTCTTGCCTCCACCTCCCAAAGTGCTGGAATTACAGGCACGATCCACCACATTCGGCTCCCAGGCCTGTCTTAAATGCATGACTGAACGTCTTTCTGGAGACTCAGCATCCATGTCGCCTGTCCCGTTTCAGACAGGTCCAGGGCTCTGCAGCTCTGCCTAGCTCACGTGCCAGCCAATGGCGGAGTGCTTTGCTCTTGCAGGGTCAGGACAGGACATTTAGTTAGAGTGAATTTTCTCTGTGGGGTCAGGGCATAGCAGGGCATGCATGGGAAATGCCACCAGCCTGTTTGCAAAGGGCTCCAACTTGTGCATGCATCTAACCTGAAAGTGGTAACTGCCTTTGTCCGACAGGAAGGGTGGACGCCAAACAAACTTAAACATGCCTGCTGCCTTCAAGTTGGGACAAGCAACATGTAGAATACTCCAGCAAGACTGTCATGCCCAGGTCAAGGATTTGCTTCCCTCCAGAGTCAAATTGCAGAGATGCTTCCCACCTCAGCCTCCCGCATAGCTGGGATTACAGATGTGTCACCACACATGGCTATTTTGACAATTTTTTTTGTGTGGATACAAGGTCTCATTCGCTATTGCCCAGGATGGTCTTGAACTCCTAGATTCAATTGATCCTCCCACCTTGGCCTCCCAAAGTGCTGGGATTACAGGCAAGAGCCACTGTGCCTGACCCCAATTCTTTTTTTTTAGTTGGTATCTCATTCTGTTGCCCAGGCTGGAGTACAGTGGCACACCCACAGCCACTGCAGCCTTGACCTGCTGGACTCAGGTGATCCTTCCACCTCAACCTTCCAAGTAGCTGGAATTATAGGCACGCACCACCACACCTGGCTAAATTTTTAATTTATTGTAGAACTGAGGTCTCGCCATGTTGTTCAGGCTGGTCTCAGACCTTTGATCTCAGGTAATCCTCTCGGCTCCACCTCCCAAAGTGCTGGCATTACAGGTGTGAGTCACCACACTGGTTTCATTTTTTGATTTATTGTAGAGATGAGGTCTCACCAAATTGCCCAGGCTGGTCTCGAACCCCTGAAGCCCCCAATTCCTAACCTATGTGCCTCTCCCCCTGCTGGATCTGCTTCTCAGGTTAAATGCTGGCGGACAGAGATAAGCAATGAACAAGAATGTCCACAAGAGGGCGCCAAAGCTCCAACTATGCACTAAAACAAGCACTTCAAGACACTCTGGTCATTATTTTGGGGCGAGAAAAATAAAATGTCAATGAGACCTCTCTTCAAGGGGCAGAAGCCGACTGCAGTATCTCACCTCGCACTTTTGCTTATCATCATTTTTTTGAGTCAAAGTCTGTTACCCAGGCTGGAGTGCAGGGGCATACTGACGGCCACTGCAGCCTCAACCTGCTGGGCTCAGGCGATCCTTCCGCCTCAGCCTTCCAATCAGCTGGAACCATAGGGGCACACCACTGTGCCAGCTAATTTTTTGATTTATTGTAGGGATGAGATCTTGCCAAGTTGCTCAGGCCGCTCTCAAACCCCCGGTCTCAGGCAATCCTCTTGCCTCTGCCTCCCAGTGCTAAGATTACAGGTGTGAGCCACCGAGGCCGGCTACCTCTTTTAAACGGGTGTGCTCCTTGCTCACCATGTTTGACGTGACCCCAGAACAGCGCCTTCTGCACTATACATGTTTGTCCCCGCACTATCAGAGTCAGCAGGCATTGGCTGCAGAGTACACAAGGTGACTCGAGGGACTGAGGAGTCTTAAATGGGGTTCCAGGACCTTCTAGACGCCCTTCCACCTCCTTTAATCATCCTTTTACCTGCTTTCTCAGGACCAGAGACCCACACTCCAGCTTCAATGGGCTGGGTGTCTGCACTGCTTGGACACTTATGTGGCTGTCCCTAGCAGCTACCATCCTATCCTTGATAATCTGCAAATAGCTCTGCACTGGATCTTCTCCCAAATGAGACATCCGGACTCCCTCTGCCTCCTAGTCTAGACTCGTTGTTCTGACTGGCTTCCCGGGGCCACTGCAGCTCTCCTCTCCAACACCCAAGCGTCCTTCCCGAGGACTCTCACAAGTGTCCACGATGCTCACCCTTCTGCCATGACACAGCGCTTGGGTTCTGAGTCCTGCGCCCTGCCGCCATGACTCTGAGCACTTGAGAGAGACCCGGACTGCTCTAAATACACCCACGCACAAAGAATACACACAGAGGCTTTTTATTTCACACACAAAACCACTGGGGATCTCGCCTGTGGCCACCTCGGAGATGACACTGGAGGGACACGTGGCTCCAGGCACTCGGTGGAGAGCGAGGTGAGGGAAACAGTGATTCGGGCCAATGACATGATTACAAGGGTAGAGTTTCCAACAGGGCTCAGGTGGTCAAGCTCGGTTCTGTGGAGTTCTAAGACGTGGTGACAGCGCCACGGCGAGGGCGAGGGGAGCTAACTAGCAGAGGCCACTGCACAGGTTGGTCGGGGCCCTCGAGCGGCCCGGGCTGATGTCAGGGGAGGGGACTCTTGGCCACCCCGTGATGAGGGCGCAGGGCTCGCGGCCCGTGGCTTACTTGCCCAGGGGGTTTCTGAAGTTCCTGCCGGCAAACTTGGCCTTGCTGCCCAGCTCCTCTTCAATCCTTGGGAAACACGAGGACGCAAGGAGGGAAGAAAGAAGTCAGGTCTCAAGTGCAGCTCGCCCTCCCAGCCCGGATGCGGTCCCAGACACAGCCCCCTCCTCCCTGTGAGCTGAGGACAGTGTCCAGAAACCTCTAAACCCGTGCTTCTCTGAGACACCGGGACAGCTCTCCTCATCCCAACTCACCTCACAAGGTGTCATCCACCAACCACCTCTTCCCCACCCCCAGTGTTTCTGAGGGGCAAAGTGGAATGAACGCCAAGACTGATCTTTTTTCTTTTGAGTACGAGTCTTACTCTGCCACCCAGGCTTGAGTGCAGTGGCATGCTCACGGCCATTGCAGCCTCAACTTGCTGAACTCAGGTGATCCTTCTGCCTCGGTCTTCCAAGTAGCTGGGACTACAGGTACACACCACCACACCCACCTAGCTTTTTTATTTATTGTAAAGACAAGGTCTCGCCATGTTGCCCAGGCTGGTCTCAAACCCCTGGGCTCAGGCAATGCTCTTGCTTCTGCCTCCCAAAGTGCTGGGATTACAGGCGTGAGCCACTGCACCTGGCTAGAACTGCTATTTCTTTTTTTGAATTCTGGAGTCTCACTTTGTTGCCAGGCTGGAGTGCAGTGACACACTTATGGCCACCGCAGACTCAACCTGCTGAACTCAGGTAATCCTTCTGTTCGGACATCCAAGTAGCCGGGACTACAGGTGCACACCACCACGCCAGGCTAATTTTTTTTTTTAAATTTACTGTGGAGATGAGGTCTCACCAAGTTACCCAGGCTGGTCTTGAGCCCCTGGTCTCAAACTATTTTCTCGTCTCTGCCTCCCCAAAGTGCTGGATTACAGGTGTGAGCCAATGTGCCCACCTTACTTTTCTTAAACTTTTAGTCTTAATCTTTAAAAACAAAACAAAATGGCAACAAATAAATGAGGTGAGGGGAAAAAAGAAAGGTGACCTTATTAAAAAACAATGTAGCCGGGCTCGGTAGCTCAGCCTGTAATCCCGCACCTTGGGAGGCTGAGGTGAGTGAATTGCCTGAGCCCACGGGTTCGAGACCCGCCTGGGCAACTTGGCGAGATCTCATCTCTACAATAAATCAAAAACTGCTG